TGGTCAATGGCTTTTTCCCTGTTTTGCTATTTCTTTTTGTTTATTGCTAAAACTGCAAGTTTTTGTCAAAACCTTAGAAGGGAAAGAAAGAATTGGAGTAATCAATGTGGTGCTGAAGAGGGAGGGAACATGTTTTTGTGTAAAATAATTACTGGTAAATTGCCGCATTTTCCTTCTCCGGAGACGTATAAGTGTCAGCATTTTTAGCACAGTATTTGGCTGCTTCAATTGAGATTCTTTGCGTTTATGCTGAACAGAGAGAAAGAAAGAGAGTGTGAGAATGGTTGGGTGGATCAAATTTGCGAATATGTTTCCCTCGCGTCTCCCCAGTTTCTTTTCTGCAAACCATGCGTCTCTTTCACGTTGGATGTGTTCAAGAAGTTGGTTAAGTGCTTGAGGCTAAATTTTTGAATTTTCTGAAGGTGTTGCTGCTCTGTGGGGAAGTGCAAGCGCTCTTTTTTTTTGAGATCAGGAATGTCGCTGGGAATTGTATCTTCCCTGAAAAAGAGCAGTGGTACCATTTTATTCTGTTCTTTGCTCCAAAAAAAAACTGTATACTGCTTCTGTCTTTTTGTCGCTGCTTTTTGTGTAAATATTTGAGGGCATTCTTTGAACCTTCTATAGAAATCCGCGGAATAATTTTTCCATGAAGAATTTGAGAGCTTGTTTCAATGTGTTTTTTTCGGTTTTGACTCTGCAAGGAAGAAAAAAAAAAGACTTGCCGAAGCGTTTCTGTTTCAAGTGACATACTGCGTGCCATAATTGACAGACTCGATTTTTGGCAGAAGCTTATTCGTTTCCCCAACTTTTTTTTTGCAAAAGAAGAGAAGAAAAAAAATCTTGACAGACATATCCCTGTTCCCCTCAATGAGGTCGTTGTGACAACGGCATTTTTTGTGTTTGCGTTTGTAGAAGCGCATTTCTCGGTGTCTTCGTTGTGATTTTTAATAGGCAGCAGCAGAGCGCAGATCTGCCTTTCGGTGGGTTCACTTCTGCACTCCACGCATTCCAAATTAGCAAACTTTTGGGTTTTTTTTTTGCTTTGTATGATGAGACGCGGATGTGTTTGTTAATTTCACTGCTGGTGGCCCCGGTTCTGATGCGTGCGGATCTTGAACAAAAGGAGCAGCCGAAAGAAATCCTAAGATTAGAAGTTTTCTCTTTTTAGTTGCCTTTTTCTGAAATGCTAACGTGAGTGTTTTCTAAATGTGAAACGGTTTTGTGCTGAAGGGGGAAGTGCTATCGCTCTTTTTTATTTTTGGGCCGGGAGGTTTATGGATGTAATAAGTGTCCAGGATTCCGATCTGCCCCGTGTAACCTTTTAGATACTTTAGGCCAAGAAACGGTGGTTTTAGCTATTCACGCAGAACTTCAGGGAAGTCCTGAAAATTTTGGAGAAGCGATATAATCCCAAGTGTTAGTTGTTCTCCCCGCAACAGGAGGAAGAGAAAATCTTCCTCTGAACACCAAGAAAAAGAAGAGAAGAAACGGAGAAGTTTTGATTTCGTTTTCTTACAAAAAAATGCGTCCTAAAATCCATTTTTTTCTCCGGGACACAGAGAGCGATTCGGAAAGGTTGAACCAGGCTTGTTTTTGCGATGATTTTTTCGTTGTCAAAAGGGGGTCCAACATTGGGCAAACTGGTAAATTGTATAGTACTTGGTAATTCGGGAACCGTAACATCCTTGTGCACGTTGTCGTGACCAGAATAAATGTGTCTGTGTCCCGAGAACTGGACTTTCTTCAATATTTCCTCCGCTGGAACACTATAAAAATGAATTTTAAAAAATGATACAAATATTGTTCGTTGCACTGAATTTTCCATTCACTACACATTTTGAAAAATACTGTGTTGCATTATGACATTCACCTGATATTCAGACTAAACATCATTTTGATTGCTGTTGACAATAAGGAAGTTAAATTGCAGAAGTGCAATACCAACTTTATTTTTGCCTGTTCAATATAGATTATTATTAATTCAAATTTTAGCTCAGAAATGAACCCCTTTTTACTTATTACAAAGAAACTTGTTTATTACAAACAAACGACATTTGTTCAATTTATTAGGAATATTTGTTTCCCAAATGTTAGCACGCAGCAGAACAAAAAACTGAAAATGCATCATAAAAAACCGGCAAAAATTGCATGTTCAGCTTGTTGTAGAGAGATTGTGGTTGGATCAACAGTTGACTTGTAACAACTTGTCTCAGGTTTAGCTCGTATAAGAAGTGATGCAGTAAGTCACTGATATTTTACTCATTGAAGTCCATATGCTCCCTGAATAACCTGGTATTTGCTCACTGCAATAATGGATTTGATCAGCGCAATTATTTAAGCACATCATTCATTTCATAATGTGCTGTATTGAAAAATAATTGCTATTGTGGTGAAGCAGTTGACTTATAGCATCTCATGGTTTGTCTGTACAAGAACTGATGATACAGCCATTAATATTTTACCCATCAAGGCTTGCATGCTGTTCCCTGAATGACCAGGTACAGTGGTACACTATATACATAGTGTACCACTGTATAGTGGTTCACTATACAGGACAATAGATACACTCTGTGCCAGTGGTTCAGGGTATCATTTGATAAGCTGCTGCATTTTAAAAATGCATCAATCTCATTTACCTCAAGTAACCTTCTTTGTCTGATAATTGCACTCGCATCATCATCTTTCCCTTTTCTTGATGGAAGTAAGGGACGAAGGAAACCCTTCAAGTTGCCAGGTTTTTTATCCAGAATTTAAACATTGATTTTGTATGAAAGAAATTGACTGCTTCCAACATCATTTCCTTTAAAATAATCCTACTTACCCCATAAGACGAAAGCTTAAAAAATGCATTGGTCTTCTTTGTCTGACATAAATGGTTCAACTGCATTTGCCCATGGAAGTTCGGTGCATATCCAACATATGCTCCATGCAGGCACAACTGGCTGGATGTTCCTGTGAAGAACATGTGCATCAAGCAGTTGCTTTCAAAAATTGCTGTTTAACATTACTTAAGAATGACAAAGACCAAACTTATTTACACCTCATTATACACAGAGGTACAGTATTTGAAATCACAGAATGAAAAACAGTTGTATCCAGAACAACAGGCTAAAAAAGGACAAAAGTAATCAGAAACAAAATCAAAATTTTATATGAATTATCACTTCAAAATGATCATGGGGGATGTGATTTATACATTTTTAAATTATTCCACCATGTCACAGTTATTCTCAAAATTTTGAGCTTAAATTATGTTGAATGTAGAAGAATAATGGAAGATGAGAGGATTTTTACATTAGCATTCTAACAAATCTTTGTTTTATTACAACTCTAGGATGTCCCACCCCAAATGCTTAACCTTCACACAAACTTATGAAGCATGGTATCAAGTTATCAACACTTGTACTGTATGCACACAAAAAAACCTGCAGCATGAGTGAATAAAGAGGAAGACTGGAGATCAAAGATCGGCGTTGTTTCTCACCACGGCATACAATCAACTGGCAACAAACTTCCATAGTCGCAAATTTGCTCAAATGTTTGTCAACCGCGATTTTTCACATGATCCAGTAAGAGTCTCAAATATAGGTTTGTAAAAATTTCCCATGGTTCAATCTCGTCAACTTCTAAGAAAAGTTTCAAGAAGTCAACAAAAAAGCCTCCCGTCATGATTCAGGAACAGCACCTAATTTTCTAAACAGGATGAGTTTCCAAGCTCAAAAAAAGAAATCCTTGAAATCACGTTTTGAAAACCTTAGCTGAACACCTTCAGTTCATGTTGGAATATTTAGCAAATTTCGGGGGAACAACAATTGAGGGTTAAATTTAACATTCATGCATGCTGAAAAAAGCATGCTCACAATTGGTCCATTGTGCCTCCAGCAAATAGAAAACGATATGAATTTGCAGGATACAATATTGCCATAATAAGGAAGAGCGCAGCACAGGCAGTGAAAATTTTTTGTTAAGACAATCAACTTGTTTCTCAAGACCACGACCCTCTGCTCGGGTCACTGTAAAATATGTAGTAATCAAAAGCTACGACATCAACTCAATTTTGATCTACGCTATCCATGACCTTCAAGCAAACAAAATTCATTTAATGATGTCCACAGAATTTTTCTTTCCAAACCAACAAAATCGAACATCAAAGCAAGGTATCTCAAGCAATAAAAAGATCCTTGCTGATCACAATATTCACTGAATATTTTTCCAATTTACAGCACCTTACAATTCAGAGCTGTGTACGGATTCGCATTACAATGCTGAACTGTGAACCCTTATACTGCCTATGGTCGTAACTCGTAACCAAACCAGAGAAATAAGCCCCGTTTCAGAACAAAGCTATGAACACCGGCCGCTTCTCTTTTGATAGAACTTCACCACCAGTCCAATCCTTTGTCAATAGATTAACTTCACCTCATGTAGCAGCTATCATAAGACGATGAAGTCTGCTCCACATTTCTAAAATGAACACGAAGTTCTGAATACGGAGTAGTGGTGAAATTCTGCAGCCCAGCATTTAATTTGAGTTCCGATGCGTGCTTAATCACCTGCATGGTCCAAGTACCGTGTCACAGTAATTTTAAATGATCCACAAACTCAACGAAATTTTGATAACTGTACGGAAAAGCCACTTCCAATCAAATGCAAAGCCTGAAAATATTGATGAATTAGGAACACTTTTGAGGAGGCGCAGACCACTGAAAAGCTGAAAAAAGGGGAACACGGAAAAATTCTGATACGCGGATCCAAACGATGCCTCAAAAATATAATTTTGAACTACCAGGGAACCATCTCTAAAAATGTTTGCCAATAAGGGAACCACGCATCTTCCACTGTGACGTGATCTTGGTTCTGGCCTCTGCTGATAGAAGAGACCGCCCGGATCGGTAATCAATGGAATCACAAAAATAAAGGTAGGATCTCTTGAAGTAAGAGACAAAACCCGTTCAGATTCTCAACAAGTGATGGTAACATTTGGCTTTGCACCCTGTAATTCATGCAGTAGTATCGTTGACGATGTTGAGGACTGTGTACGGCTGAAATATTATCTCCTCATGGCCCTCCAGGAAAAGAAAACCAATGATATTTCTTCTTCGCAGTTCATCATTGCTCTCCCAATCGCAGGTCTTCGATGTCGTTTCTAATGTGAGGAAGCCACTGTCAGCACGGCGCAACCCATGACCGCCCACACATCGAACTTGACATCCTGAAGCACTTTCACTGACAATCACGACAAGTTTAATGGGACCCTCGTGAATATGTAACACCTACGCCCGATCGAAAGCTTTAACATCTGGAATCGTCATGCTTCACATTTTATCGATCGACACAACCTTGACATTATTTATGTCCGCAGGCAGATTTCCGAAACGGTCAGGATCAACTTCCAACATGACAATGCACATGAAGAATTTGCTCGTCTCTGCGTCTCGGGGATAGAATATCACGTGGCCAAAACTTTCATTCCGCTCCACGTAGGCACCCAAGCGACGATCCACGTCCGGAAACTCCACAGCTAGGTCCACTCCATGATCAGTGAGTTGCGCGATTATCGCATCACGGCACAGTATCCGACCCGAGCGTTCATTGCCGAATCCTAGCGGGGAAACGAATATGATCGTTTCCTGCTCTTCGACGTCTTGCGTGATGATTGCTTCCTGTCTCAGCTGCAGGGGATTCACGGGTATATGCGACCTACGCAGAAAATCACGCGCATGATGTTGAGGCGCACAGCACGGAAGAAACAGAGGCGGCGCCATTTTCAAGGAATTATAAACATTACAAAGTGCGCTCAAGAGCCCTTTTTCCTCCCAGCAAGTTTTTAAATACCTCGAACGATGTCGCTCCCGGCGTGTGCTGGCATTCTGCTGCTTTGGACTCAAAAGTGGGCTCAGTTTCATTTTTCCGCACTTCACTATCAAAAGTCTTTCAAATTTGACGCTGTCCGCTGTAGGAATCTCACTCCACACGCATGCTGCAGCATAAAGAACGAGTTTGGTCTCTGGATTGTAGTTTCCACAGAGGTCAACCAATGCCCTGTAAAATGTAGCATTCAAACAAAAGTTTGTAACAGAACTGTACACAACAGCGTCGAAGTTGATGCACTCGGACCTCTTTGAATGAAACCTTTCTAATAAGTCAAAAAATTTTGCGGATAAATCCCGGCACCGCCGCCCAAGGGTTAAAACCTTTTCAAGTCAAACACTTTTCTCGCTCTTCGAAATTCCACTTCGGTTCGACTATACACACCTGTAGTTATCTGGACCCATTTCTTCCGGCATGAGGTCAGTGACAGGCGTATAAACAGGCTGCATGCCTCCGTTGCTGTCGGTTTTGAACGTGTTCAGGAAGTCCTGGAGCTCATCCACAGTTTGGAAGAAAAGCTTCACACAGCCAGCGCCTCGGCTCAAGTAGCCCTGGCGAGCGAGTTTTGATAACTGGAGGAAGCATTCTGGCACATCTCTGCAGAAAATAACGCACATGGCGCACAAACTAATGAGTCATCATGTACATTTTTGCCTCAGTTTATATACAGACTTGTTAGCAGCAGTGACATCTGATTGAAAATAGGAAAGGCAGAATTTGAAATCACTCCCATACATGTACAGGGTGTGTCAAACAAGTTAAATGATCTATTAACTTACAATAGTTCCATAGCAAATTTATATGCAACAATTTAAAAAAAAACACCAGATGAAAGCTTGTTCAATTTACTTTTGACTGATATGTAGTTCAATGGTCCCAAGTGCCACTACATGATCACAGGAACCAATTGAATGAACACTTTCCAAGAAAAAGTTGTCAGTCAACTTCTTTAGCAAAGCTGCCAATCTCCAGCCCTAAGTTTTCAGGGATAAATGGGGCACTGAGCTATTGTAAGCTAAAATAATTTTTTTTTACCCACCCTGTATCTCTTCATCATTCTCTATGCTTCATCTAAGCCCAAAGTAAGAAAGTCATCCTCAAGTAGAATGTCATGCTAGCATACTCACTTATACATTGCCTCCAAAAAAAACTCCACAGGTTTGGGTAACACTTTCCAATACAGTATAAATAAAATATTGTATACCTATATATACAATATATATACAGGTATACTGTACTTAAATTTACCCTTATTGTGAATTTTCAACATTCCACATTTAAAAAAGTCTCATTTGAAGCAACAATTTTCTTGTTGACCTATATTACCCATACAGTCTATTTCAATTTAGTTCCCTCAGCAATTGAGTTTCACCCTTGCTTATAATGCCACAGAATACACTGATATGGAAAAAACTTCTCCATTATAGTTATCTTAATATAGAGAAACCCCAAATTAGTGCCTTACAACTCAGTGCCAACAAAAGTTCCTGCTTTAAAATTAAATGTTCACCATACTTGCGAAAATCCCTCCCAATTATTTTTAGATGGATTGTCGCAGTTGCGACAATCTAGTGATTGGTTTTGATGTACCGCACACTGGTGATGAAAACTAGGAGGTTTTTACTTAGTTGTTTTAGTTATTTGGTAACCAAACAAATAAGGAATAATAACTCTGGCTGACAATTTGCATTGTTTAAAAAATAATATATGCTCTCTTGAATTAGTATTTTCTTTTGTTCATGGAGTACTGTAATTATTTTGGAAGTGCTTCAATTTATGAAGCCTTAATGTAAAATTTCCGAGGAAGAATTGCTGCAGGCGTTGATGATAGCAATCGATTCGTGATAAATTTTTAAATAAATGGTGTTTCAATAGAGGTTCAAATTGATCACAAATATCGCAGAAGGTAAAGACAGTAATGTTCAAGCTGGAAGGAAATACTGTATACCTGAATTTATTACAAGAGTTTTAATATTGACTTTTTCACTGCTTGTGACTCTGCTAATTCATTTTTTTTCATCCTCCTCCCTTGATGATTAATTCAGTGCCAGAAAAAATGCAATCAATGATGAGACAGAGGATCAAAATATGTAATCACCTGATTTGATGCATGAGGTCAGTAAGTAGGGAAGATGCTCTGAGCTGCATGCAGTGCTTTTGATGCTTTGGCTTGTGTGCTCTTCTGCACTCCCTGGAACAGTAGTAGGTGTGACAGTTCTTGCAAGTTTTGTACAGCTTTTGCGCCTCTTCAATGTGGCATCCATTCGGACACTTGCTATTCCGACATTGGATCAAGATGTGCGACATTGCTATGAGTCCTGTGTAAATACGCACATAAGAATTAAAAGAAAATACTGTATATAAATCATGAAATTTATATGACAAATGGCAGAGTATGAATGCAAGCTAAAGAAAATGTTCAACAGATGCACTAATTTTTAATGAATAGATGCTGGATGAGCATCTTGTGCTTGAATTTGGGTTCAGTATTTGCCTTATGCTAAAATTTTTATCGCTGAAATCTTGTTTTTTTTATGAGCAAAGGGATAAAGAACGTGTATGTACAGAATTTACATCAGTTGTGCAATTGTACATTTTGGGATTTACAGTATTTTTTTCAATATCCATATACAGCTGATTTATCTATTCTGATTTGTGATGGAATGTGTTTTGATGAATGTGAGCGGGGAGGGGATGAGGTTTGCATTTGGGAATGTTGTTTGAACCTTGTGAATGTTTAAAAGCAGAAAATAAAGCTTGTATGCCCTTCAATTCAATTCTATATATGCTGGATATACAGTGCTAAGCAGCAATATTGACAATTGTTTTTTCTGTAACTAGGATACAATTATGCATACGAAAATTCAGCGAAAATATATCGAGTGCTTCGACTAAGTTACTGCACAGGATTTCAAAACCTATGTTGAAATGTTTAAGCGCGGGAGTATATAGCGGTGCCCTAATTGGAGACAGACTGCATTGAAATTATCTACGAGTGACAGGGAGTGACACCTGCTGGTCCCGGCGACGAAATGCTAGCGACGCTGTTGCCCGCCGTGGCTCCCGTCGGAGAGATGGCGTCCCCGAGGCTCGCAGGCGTGCTGGCAAAGGGCGAATCTCGGTGCAGATCAGTCTCCATGATCTTGATCTCCAGGTCTTCGAAGAAGAACGGCTCCGGGGACGGGGTCAGCGTGGCTTTCCCACTTCCTCTGCTTCCCGGCAGCAATGGCTCCAACTCTGCACAAGTCCCAAATTTACAGATGATGACACGACGACAATGATAGAGAGAGAAAGAGACGCATTAGGTCAGTCATCGAATTCTCCTCAAACTGTACTGTGACTGTACAAGTGGAACCGGGATAACTCGAATCTCCATAAATCGACTTTTTTTTTTCAAGTCACTTCGTCTGCTGAATTTCCTCGGGAACAATGCATTCAAAACCATTCTAACTCATGGAAGGCTTATTTTCATTTCAAACCTCTGAATAACTCAAACTTTCTGAGGTTTTTGGCTCCGCTATTTTCTTGACACAGGGAAAGAGAAGAGCAATAAAATAGTAACTTTGCGTTTTTTTTTTAAAGGAACTGAAAGACTAATTGGGCAAATGAACCCTTGTCCCCCAGTTCAGCATTATTGTGTATAAGTCATCTAAAAGTCAATTGCAATATTTGCAATTATTGATTTCTTTGACAAGACAGAAACTTTTTTCCCGATTCGAAATTGCAACCTCAACTCGATTCGACTCAAAGAGGCACTGTTTTATTCCTTGAGTGAAAAAATTATAATACAATAAAGCATTCATCTAGGGAGCATTTTTATTCTCCTCATTAAAATTCTCTGGAAGTTCTCTTCGCATTCCATCTTTTTTTATCTACCGTGGGAATAAAGGAAATTCTTCGACTTCACTCTTCAAATACCCAAAAAAAAAAATGAAGAACCCGAACCCTTTCGCTGTACATTATATTTATTTTTTGAGGCCTCACCGCTGGAAAAAATTAATGCGAAGTCAAGAGAAGTCAGACAGAGAAAATCAACTCAAACCTTATATCAAAGATCATCAATCACAATTATTCATTTAAAATTTTCATTTCCCGGAGTGACCATATAATATGTACATGAAATACAGTATTATTAGATAAGAAAGATAAGACGGTATTTTACGCTTCGTTCAATAATTATGTTCATAACAGATAGATTTAAAATCCACATCATGTGAATTTCAAAATTCACATCTAATAAGAAACTAGCTTTTCCCCTCTTCAACACTAAACTTTTTTTCCAATCGGAGAAAATGTTTTAGAATTACGCTGATGTAAATTACAGTAATTAAAGCTGCTGTGTCGCATTTTCACATCTTCTCGAAAGGATACTTGCCAAAGCTTGATTCTGAAAAAGCATTTTACAGTACTTTTAAATACCGACAGCTTACCTTTTATGGATTTCTCCATTTCTTTTCTACATAGAGTCAAATGTATTGCTGGGAAGCTTTGCATGATTATGAACGTTATTTTGAATTGAAATTTATGCATGGGATTCGAGAAAAGTGAAATTGACATTGCTTAGATAAAAAAGTGTAAAAAATTATTCTCCCATGTAATTAAATTCGTCTTTTCAAGATTCATGATACAAACAGATTAAATCGACAAATCAGCAGAAAAAAAGAACAGGCATCCTAAAGAAAATTGTGAACGATTGGGTTTTTCAATAAACTTTCGTGATGGAAGCACAGAAAATATTTGTCAGTGCCAATTATATCGAATGATTTACATTTATCATCGATAATCCGAAGAATACTGTACTTATTTTCATTTGTTCGGAAAGAGAAGAATCATCGGATTAAAAATTGAATATTTTTTTAAATAATTAAGCTGCTTTTCCTATCATGTACTTCACTTAATTGAGTGGTTCTATGGTTTTGCTTGATTTCACAAATTGCAAGACCTTTTTCGCTTCATCAGTAAATCAGAAAAACATGTTACTCTCGAGATTTCTGTAGCCAACAGAAAAAACAATAGGATTGGATTCTCAATTGAGAATAAGAAACATTTTTGTTGTAGCAGTGCTAAATCATGGATTGGGTTCACGGTGTTCAATCGCTAAACTTGAAAAATTTTGAATAACTACAATGATTCAAAAATATTCCCGAAAAATTTTTCATGGTCACATCCGGAGGATGGAAATTTGAAAGTGTTAAAAAATTCAAGACGGAGAGCATATCGAACAATTCACCTCATTCCCATAGACTCCATAGAGTCACCACTAAAATCCAATATCTTCGAAGTCACTTTTAAATTGCAAAAACGCCATCAGAAAAAATTTGAAATTCACTGCGGATAATTTGGAATTTCTTTCGACAATTGTCAGCAGCCGTTTGTCTGCGAATCCATACAGAAAAAGACTGCAGATCATCAGCTAGCACTTCTTTGATTTTTGTTAAAATATACCGGAACTCACCGAGTCCACTCCCAGTATTTGCCTTTAGCATTTGTCGAAAAGTAAATGAAATGAAATCGCGATTCCCACAGCGTTACCAACATTACCAAAAAAGGAACGAGGATCGAGGGCTTCAGCAGGCTAAAAGGTTTAATGGGGTGGCGAAGGGCAAAGCCAAGCTTAATGACAAGGATTCGATGCAAAGCAGGGGATTTATCAAAGAGTAGCAGGCACAAAAACAAAAAAGAAGAGACGAAAATAGCAAAGCCACAGGGTTACAATGAGGGAATTTCGATCGGATACGAGGTTTTTTTTTCTTGGCAAAATACACCAAGCAAAAAATTGTCAATCAATTCTTCTATTTATGAAGTCTATTTACGACTAGTCACAGCAAAGAGTGGAAGGTATAGAAATCATTCGTAGTAAAAATTCAGTTCCACTATAATTGGTTCCGAACAGGTCCCTGAAACTTGAGATAAACGGAATAAGACATTCGAGTTGAAATTTATACGGAAAGTGTATTCATATAAAAGTAGACAGTTTTTTTTTCAGAGTAACTCGAGAAGACATATGTGTGACAGGAATAAAAAAAATGTACAAAAAAGTTCGTTGCCGAGTCTAGAATCGCCGTCTTCCTGGCGAAAAATAGACCTTCAGCGAGTTGAAGTCAGCTCCACTAGATGGAGCTCCTTTCTATCCAGCGATGTCCGACGCTCCCGATTCACCTCCTTGATCCGTCGGGGTAACCTGTCCCAGGGACAAGACATTCGCCATTTTCCTCATCATGCTTTCGTGTTACATATTGAGCATAATTTGTAAAATATGACCTCCCTGCAGCAAAAAATTTTGGGTACTTTCCTGTTATCTCAGTACCTACTTTCCTGTTATCTCTGTACCTTCCCTCTGAACAATTTAACCTGACCTAACCTAACTTCACCTAACCGCCTCCCAAAATAGGTTTCTGTTTTCTTTGGGTTTCTGCTGAAACTGATTTTAGGGGGCGGTTAGGTAAAGTTAGGTTAGGTCAGGTTATGTTAATTAAAATATATTTGTAACTAACATTACCTGACCTAACCTAACTTTACCTAACCGCCTCCCAAAACCAGTTTCAGCAGAATGCGGAAAATTAAATTCACAATTTCTGGTAGGTTGTTGTGATTATGAACTCATCCTAAAGATTTGTCTGGATGGTACTGCAGTCTAGGAATGAGGTACAGAGATAACAGGAAAGTACCAAATTTTGAGGTGCTACACTAGTCCACAAAATACCCCATTTTTAGCAATAATAAATACATATGGATAGAGAAAACAATGATGGTGCTATTACAATACTGTACCATCATTAGGGTCATATTCATATGTAGAGAGTTGCAAGGTAATTTAATTGAAACTCTCAACAGAGACCCATCATCAGCCAAACATGTTTTAGGGACAAATGAAATCATCTTGTTGGGGTACTATGCAAGTATAAATACCCATCAAGGAACCCTTGTAAGGCTAAAAGGAATAGGACAAATTAATGCATGTTTAAACCTTCCATAAGTGTTTCTGAAGTCTGTGCGACCATTGTTCTATCTCTAATCCAAGAGCAGTTGGCAGTAGAAAAAAATATTTCCACTCCCATTACAGCAGCATATTTTGAGTTTCAACAATTTCTTTTTCATTTAATTTTCTTAAATCATTAAAAGCGATGGGAACTTTTCTGTTGATGTCTGCGTGAAAAGTTGATCTAACATGCAGACAATCTGAATTATGGACACAAATTGAGAAGTACAGTAATTATGTCTGTCTCTCAGAGCCCTACTGTACTGAAGGTACCTTGAAAATTATAAGTAATGATAAGGATTTTGTTTTGGCAGGATTTTACCTGCTATAATGGTTTTGATATACTGGTTTTTTTTAAACAAGGAAGCAATGGAAAGACAAAATGTCAAGTAGCAAACATCCTAAATGCCATATTTACACAAGTACCCACTCACACATTTTTCCACCTAAAAAAAGAAACAAACAAAAAAGTGTCCCCAAGCAGTTTAATGCACTCCAGTTTAAGAGACTGGAAATTGCAATATTTTGAAAATTAAATATACCAGGATTCAAATTTTGTATAGTGAAATAGAATGTTTATTATCCATTGTTTCCATTTTTTTTAAATTATCCTATATGTGACAACAATATTGGTGAAAATGTTGATTACTTTTCTGCTCTGATGGTTCTCTGCTGGAGCAGTTCCATGATGATGTACCTATCATTTTTCATTCCACAATTTTGCATGAATTCAGAAATCGGCGCAGCATTGTCCCTCGGGGACAGGCTACCTCGTCGTAACACAGGTCGGGTCAGATCAGGTCAGAGCGTCGCTGTTTTGGCAACACCGGCCTCACCGTCTTGGAACGAATGTCCCGAGGCAGACGGCTTCAGCTGTCGATTGCTACTGCTGCTGCTGTCGTCAGTGCCACCGACAGCAGCCGCGTCTCCGTCGCCGGCGCCAACGTCGTCCACGTGCTGGCGGCGCCTCGGCATCTGGGTCGCCTGCTGCTGCTGCTGGAGGTGGTGGTGGTGGTGCTGCAGGTGGTGGTCCTTGGCAGCCCTGGCGCTTCTAATGCACAGCTCGGCTTCCTCGTCTTGCAGTTGGGCCACCAGCAGGGCCTGACTGCTGCTGGCGGAGTCGGTGCTGTGGCGCTTGTTTTGAGTGTCGGCGTCGACGCCGCCGACACCCACTTCGACGTCGACGTCGTCGTCGTCGTCGTCGTCCTCGTCGTCGTACGGTGACAGCAGGAAACGCTGACCTGCTTCATCATGCACCCCCCGTAATTAATTATTTGATCAATTATCACGCCGCCGGTTCAATAAGCGGCGGCAAAGGCGGAGATGTTTCGGATTTTTTTTTTTCAGTGAAGAAAGAAATGGCAGATGTGCGACAATGTTGAGATGAAATCAGAATTCCCCGAATTTCGCGTGAGAGAAAGGAAAAAAAAGAGTGAGTAAATGTCTTCCCGATCGAAGAATCTGATCAACCAACATTCTCAGACACAGCTCTTTTTTTTTATCGAATACCAAACTTTTTTCCTCCGATTAAGCGGAAAGTAACTTTTATTCCGAGCCACACATTCAATGCAAGCTTTTTTTTAAATCCTGCCTGACAATTATTCATGAGGCATAAGCCATGAAAACAATGAAGATTGCTGTCGGTGAATGTTTCAATTAAAGATTAAGAAAAAAAAACTGAGGTCTGCCCGGAACTCGTCTGTCATTGGAACTCGTCGGTGGACATAAACGTAATTTTAACATTTAAGGCCTTTCGGAAGAATATTGACTGAAAAAAATTCCTGCCAAGACAACAGAAAGATTAAATTTATCAAATCGTGCCGACCATCAAAGAACTTAGCAAAAACCTCCTGGTATTATTGTACTATAAAAGCTTAAACACCGGCATTCAAATCCAAAAAAAAGTTGAACCGCGGGAATAAGCCACCACCATATGTTTTTTTTAGGTTTTCGGCAATTCAAGGGTGTTGGAGGTTTAAAGGGGTTTCTTGATTCATCAAAAAGGCGAAAATAATGGAAACTAAGTAAATAGGAAATACATTTCTTGCAATAGTATTATAGAAAACAATAAAATATCTTCGGAATCAAAAATTATATCAAGCGTTACGTTCCAAAAAAGTAAACTACGTCACCGTCGTATTTTTTTTTTAAATTTGAAAACCTCTCGCAGAAGCTTGAATCTTATTAATTGGCAGGCTGTGGAAGACGAAATTTTGTTGCAAGAGCATGTTTGAGTTTTCAATAATTTCGGCGTACGACGGATGGCGTTTTAACGGGGTTTGACTGTAAATGACAACTCTCCGTTTCTCCCAACATTTTGAAAACATCCTTCAAAAAAGCCTATCAAAAATTTAAAATTTTTCGAATGCGAGAATTGAACAAAATACTTCAATGGATGAATGAGCGTCATTCATGAAAGCGCATTGACTGAACATAAAAACGTCAAATGAATGTGTGCATATGTGGAGTGTTATTCAATCAAAAAGTGATGATCGAAAAAGCATAAATTCTTCAGATTCGATGCCATGCAAATTTTTTGCGATTCAATCGATCATTTTATAATACTGTACCTCGTTTATCAATTATCGTCTTTAAAACCAGCGAAATTTTAATAGCGTCTCATTTTTTTAAAATTATGGATAATTAACCCCGATGAAAACTGTACCAGTAGCAAAAAATCCATGGGACTCAGAGTAACATAAAAATTCGTAATATACATTATTTAATTCTCTGTGAAAGAAAATACTAAACTTCTCTAAAAGTAAAAGTCTTGAAGATAGATTCAGGAAAACTCGTATTAGTTGTATCTCCGCTTCCAATATTTCAATAATTTTGAATAAGACGTCGAATGTGACAAGAAATATTTTTTTGTAGAAATAATCGAAGATTTTCGTGAACAATATAGGTGCTCTTACTAAACACAGCCAGAGTCTCTTTTGTTTTTGTCACATTTCATTAATAAAAATTGACAATATTTTGTCACCATCAATTCACGCTTATTTGAGCCATGATTTTTCAATATAACGTTCAACGAAGCCATTTAATTAAAAAAGTACCAGGAAATCCTTTCGAAACGCAAAAATTGAGTGAATAATTCAGTTCTGAAGGACATTTTTCGACCCAGGAAGCAGCATGACCCTCATGTATGAGGCTTCCTCGGAAATCCGACTTGGGTTGCAGGGCCGGAAAGAAGTTTCATTGGCAATGGATGAAGCACGCGATGAGGGGAACCTCAACAAGAAATTTCTTAAATTATTCATTGGCCTCGTGAGCCAAAAAAGGAGAAAAAATAGGCCAGGAAATGAGACAGACAAATGTTCATACTTTGCGATAAAAAATATTTTGCCTTTTTTTTCAAGATGATAAATGCTAGATGACGATCAAATCCATCTGAGAAAATTGCAAATTTTGACCCGGAAGTGAACTTATTTTCGACTGACTATATGAAAACCTAATTTTTCTGGAATTATTCTGAACATACATTTCCTAAATTTAAGGGAAATGCGT